AAGTATTTTATATGAATATTTGAAAATAGCTCCAAAAACAGGTAAGACTATAGCCTTACCTTATTAAGAATTTAGAACTTTTCTGATTGTAAAAGAAAAAAAATGCTTTCTAAAAAAATTCTCAAAGTGCTGTAATTTGATGATATCCATCCATCCATTTTCATCCGCTTATCCGTTGCCGGGTCGCGGGGGCAGCAGTCGCCACCCAAATCACACTGCACCGTACCAACTCCTCAAACCTTCCTGCGGGTGGTGAGTCCACTGGAAGGTATTAACCGCCTTAACCGGGATTCGAACCTGCCCAGGAGGTGAACCCTGGGGTTCCACACCAATGACAGAGACATTGCCTCTGGGCCAAAGCGCCACAATTTGATGATATATTTTTTTTAAATTTGCCTAGAAATTTCAAAAGATTTTCAACATCTGACCAAAGGTTTTTCTTTCTGAATTTCAAGCATGAAAAACCACACCACTACATATTTTTAATCAAATCAGTGCATTTTAATTAATTGAAAAATATATGTATTTTTTGCAGACATTTTTAGTCAACCATTAGTATAGTATTTTACTTCTGATCAATGGATGATGTCCAAAAAATTATTTTTTGAATTATAAATATAAAACGGACATACCTACAAATTACAGGTAAATTAGTGCATTTTTGTCACATTGATCTTTGAGAGGAATACATAAAAATGCAGTACTCAGAGCAGGAATCAGATGAGAATAAAAATGTTTTACATGTGCAAAGTCCAAATGACGCTGATGAGTGACGAATGATTTGCTGCAGGGGAAAAGATCCAGAAGAGTCAACGAGACAGCAGACCAGTGATGAGCGAGGACGTGCAAGGCTTCCAGTGGTACAGAGCTGAGCCTGGGTGTTGACTTGTGGAGTCCAGGTGCAGCACCATGGACAGCGGCAAAGAGTATGTATCTGCAAATCAAGAAAAAGAGATCAAAGTCACCAATATGAAGTTTCATCAAACTGAGAGGATCGTGCCACAAGAAGAGTGGAACGATTTGGCACTGCACTGTCAAATTCAGTGCCTTTTTCAATTGCTAGTGCCTTTTTTTCCAAGAACTCACAACATCCCACTGGAGATAGCGAAACCGCCGGGAGCCCTGTGGATTGTTATCGGACACAACAGGCGGCACAGGGAGAGGAAGCTAAAACGCAGGCCTGCCAGCTCAGCTAAGGAAACAACCACACAGACCAGGAAGCAACCTGACCCCGAACGTCTTTAAGACTAAAGGACATTATGGACTTCAGGAAACAGACATAATTATACCCCCCTCCTCATAAATGGAGAAGAAGTGGAAACTGTCACCACCTTCAGGTTTCTGGGCACCCAATATCAATATCACTTACAATATGAGGGCCCAAGTGAAGAAGGCTCAGCAACAGCTACACTTCCTGCACATCCTCAGGAAGAACAACCTGGACAGGAAGCTGCTGCTGGATTTCTAGCACTCCTCTGTGGAGAGTGTGCTCACCTGCTGCCTGTGAGTGGCAGAAAGGCTTCACAGCTGAGGACAGGAAGGCAGTACAGAGGGTCATAAACACTGCCAAAAAATCATTGGGTGCCCTCTTCCCACCCTAGAACAGAAAAGCCAAGGCCATCACAGCTGACCCCTCACACACCGCCCACCCCCCGTTTGACCTGTTGCCCTCTGGAAGATGCAACAGGTCTATCAAGTCCCACACTGCCAGACTGACAAACAGCCTTTCCCCCTGGGCCACTCACTCACCCATAGACAAATCCCCCCCCCCCCCCCCCCCCCCCCCCCCCCCCCCCCCCCCCACCCCATCGACCTACCAAGAATGTTTACAGCCACAGATTACTTTACAGTTTTTCACAAATGCACGATTTTAACATTAAAATCTGTAGTTTGTTCTATATGTATAATGTATATACTGTATATTCTGTTTTGCACAACTTGCACTGCTTCCTGGTATCAGCCCATTACGAGGTTGTTTGTCTGTATTGTTGTATATATATATTTTTTCTCCTGTTGTGGTGCAAGTGGTTTTGTGGGAGCACCCTCAATTTTTCTTTTCCATTGTTGTAACCCTGTTGTACAAGGACAATAAAGACTATTTAATTCTATTGTCTATGAAGATTCTCAGTCATCCAGGTCAAGGTTAAAGAGTTCTGTTAGGCAACTGGACGTGAAATGTTCTCAAAGAAAACATTTCACCTCTCATCCAAGAGGCTTCTTAAGTTCTACCTGGTGCTGGGGAGTACAGCAAAAAAATAAAGTTACTTCAGGCCCCCCCCTGTTGGGTGTGCCATTGGGGTCAACTGGGGGTGTTAACAGTCAGATGTTTGATGCGTAGTTGCAATCCTCATCAGAATGGTTTCGATCACGTCTCTTTGATGTGTGAAACTGAGAAGAATCTTTTGGGTATTGTTCCTAAGAGACTTATATGTGGGTGATAGGTTGTGTCTGAGTCCACCTTCTCTGTTGAGTGATGGTTTTTCCAGGTTGACAGAAATGGTGTGTTTTGTACACATACACCTCAAGGACACACTTGAGAGAGGGGTAAAAGAAATTATTTTTCAGCCTGGAAAAACCATAACTCAACAGAGAAGGTGGGCTAAGACACAACCTATCACCCACATACTGTATAAGGCTCTCTAAGGTAACATACCAAAAGATTCACCTCAGTTTTACACATCAAAGAAACATGTGACCGAAAACCATTCTGATGAGGATTTCAACTACTGTCAAACGCCAAACGGCTGTTAACGCTGACCCCAATGGCACACCCAACAGCAAGGACCTGAAATAAAAAACGTTATTTTTGAAGTCTTTTTCAGGAAAATATTAGTATAGTATGTTAGCGGGATTTTAAATTAGTGTCAAATCAAATCATTTTTGAGAAACTTATTTTTGGAGATTTGTTCAAGAACTTATTGATATAGAATTTTACTGTGATCAAAAGTTGGCATATATATGCAAAGCTACATATTTTAAGGCAAATTACTGCATTTTTATTTATTTTTGAGAAACTTACTTACTTACTTGTGGAGTCCAGGTGCAGCACCATGGACAGCGGCAAAGAGTATGTATCTGCAAATCAAGAAAAAGAGATCAAAGTCACCAATATGAAGTTTCATCAAACTGAGAGGATCGTGCCACAAGAAGAGTGGAACGATTTGGCACTGAACTGTCAAATTCAGTGCCTTTTTCAGGTAAAAACTCAAAATCGCTAGTGCCTTTTTTTCACGCAACATCCCACTGGAGATAGCAAAACTGCCAAAAATGGACATAGCTAAGTATTTTAAGACAAATTAGTGTCAAATCAACTCATTTTTGAGAAACTTATTTTGAAGACATTTTCAGGAAATTATTAGTAGTGAGATCTAAGGTTGATGCAGCAAAAAAAGTTTATTTTTTCTGACTTAACCATAAAAATTGACATTTTAAGATTTCTAAGATTTTAGAAGAAACGCTTTCACGGAAGTTCACCAGATAAAGCCTTCAAAATACTTGGTTTTTATGTTCGATAATTATTTTTACTGAATAAATCAATAAAGCTTTTCTGATTCTGCTGGTTTTTCTGTTGTCAGAAGTTTAAGCCCGAGTTCCAAAACTTTTTTTTTCTTTATCTTGTTGGACTTTTCATCCTTTAGTAACAATGGGATGAACTAACGTGAACCCATTCACTGTCTGTGCCTTCTGAAATATTTTCTTTCATAAATCTTTGAATCTATCTTTTCAAAATGGGGAAACACATATAGCTGTACCTCTATTTGTAAAGGTCAATATCTTTACCTTAAAGAAATGCGACTCGGTGGTGAGGTGCTGAGTCCTCTGGAGAACTGGAGAATGGCTCTATCTAGAGAAGAAAGAGAAGAAAAAGAATAGCCAACGTCACAAATGATGCTATTATTCATGCTGGGTGTTGAAATCTACACTCACTGTAGCTCTGTGTATGTGAGAGCCCCCCTCCACCCCCCTCTCTGTGTGTGATCTCATGGGAACTCAGCTGGAGTCAACTTCATTCCGAAGCTCTTTGCAGAAAGTGGCGTGAAGGGAAGCTGCAAGGCCCTGTGGTGATGCTGAAACTGCTGATTCAGTGTTAAATAGGTGACGGCGGTCACAGACGTAGATGAAGAACACACAAGGCACTTCTCTGAATGTTTGCCAAAATTGTTCAGGTGTCGACTGGTATAGAAAATTGGTGTGATCAAAGGTTCACATATGAAAAAAATAATATTTTTTCTGAATTTTAACCATAGAAATGTGCATTGCTACTTATTCTAAGGCAAATTAGTGCATTTTTATACTTTTTTGAGAAACCTTTGTTTTTGAAGACTTTTTCAGGAAATTCTTAGTATAGTATGTAATGTTATCAAGAAGTATAATTTTTATTCATTTTAATCAATAAAATTGACATTGCTACATAATTGAAGGCAAATGAGTGCATTTTTATTCTTATTTTTTAACATCTTTTTATTTCAATTTAGCAAGTATTTCGTTTTTACAATTGCAGTCAAATGTCAATGAAAATAAATGCCTTTCTCTGCATTTTGTAATACACAAATTTACATATTTACATATAGTCCATATAGGCCAACTCACTCCACATCCAGTTCAATGCTATTATGTCCAGTGTGAAACTCTCTCATGCATCACACTGTATTTCAATTAAGCTTGTTAGCATACAGGAAATATAAAGAATGGGGTCAGTATAGAGTCTATTAACCATCAGCATATACAAATAAATGTCTGCACATTTATGCATAAGCATCTAACTCTATCAAAGAAAAAATCATAAATTGGGAGCCATTTGGTCAAAAAACACTCTTACTATTATATATATGTTAATTTTGCAGTTATAAATACATATTATACACCTCTTTTACTCTTTGTTTCCATTGTGTTATTGTGGGGGGAAATTGAGCAATTGAAAGAAAGGACTTTTGACAATAAAACCTTATTTTCATCCTTTATTTTATGTGTTGTGATTCCCAGTATAAAATTAACTTGATTATGTGTCAGATCTATGTTTAAACATTTTTGTACATCTTTTTTTTTACATTCTGCCAGTAAAAATTTTGCCATTCCTGATTCAGGCAGGTGGGTTTCCTGTAGCAAAGCAATTGAGCATTTAAGTTTTATTAACTGATCGTATATTTTCTTCCTTGTAATTGGATGGTTTAGTCCATCATATATGGTTTTTGTCAGATCATATAACTTTCATCAAAGTCATATGAAACTTCTCTTTTATTTTAATTTTCAGGTGCAATTAAATACTGTTGCTAAACATGTAAATTACAACAGATGCCCACGGGGTATGTTCTAAAAATAAATCTAGTTAACAAGAGGGTAAAAAATTGAACTGTTAATGTGCTTTTTTTAATCGGTAACACTTGGAGTGATATTCAAATCTGTGCAATGACAATGGTAAGAATAGTGTCTACTATTGTATGTTCCAGATCTAATTATTACATTATTCAGCAAGTCTATCAAACAAGTAGCTCTTCATATTACTGAGTGCCCTTGAAGTAGCTCTCAGTTTCAAAAAGGTTGGTGACCTCTGATCTAAGGTAAGGAAAATATTTCTCAAGAACTAATACATTTGAACAGTAGAACTAACTGAATGAACATTTAGTTTAGCTCTTCAAAAACAGAGATGTGAGGAAAATCTCTTTGAGGGTCACACTAAGTTCACTTGTATACAGTTGCTTGGGTAAAATAAAAAAAATAATTAAAAAAAAAGTATCTTACTTCTCTGAAGGGAAAAGCCCTCTTATTCTTTCACTGCTACATTAACCAACCACATACAGTATAATATCTGTTTATGCAGACAAGGCCATCCTAGCCTAGAAGGTAAGCCTAACTCCCCGCTGACAACTTAAAACGTTACCATTTTACTTACATCTACTGATTATTTGTTGTTCATTTTACCTGGAATAACAACCTGCAAGTCCGTGTGTGTCGTTGTTGGTGTACCTTAGGCGTTCGTGGTCTGCACCGTGTCCCACTGGTTGCGCAGCTGCTCTCTCTGTAGATTTTCCCATTCCTCGACCTTGACATGGATTCCTATCTTTTTCAGGACCGCGTTGTGAAAGTCTTAACACCAGATTCTAGATAAATTCTCAATCGAGCCGGGAACGGGCTTCCACTTCCCTCGCAGACAGTTCTTCCCGTACCTTTCCGTAACTTTCTTCCAGGCTTGTTGGAGCACTTCGTCCATAACTGTAATCGGAGAATCGGACAATGATGGATCTAGATGATGAGTCAGGAGGTTTCACCGTCAGCGAGCATTGTTCTCTTTCTATACATACATCCTTATCATCTGGTAGACCGCGAATCAAGCGGGTTATGTAGTCCATCATAATATCTTTGTCTTCCGCTTCTTTAATCCCATATATGCGCACATTATTCCTTCTTGCTCTGGATTCTAAATCCTCGAACCTGGAAGATAGCTTAGCTTAGCTTCTCTGTGAAGCAGGTAGCGAATGGCTCTGGCCTGTCGTGGTGTGTTTATCCTCCATGTCGCTCACTCTTTGTTAGACCTCGGTTAGTTGTACGTTCCAGAACATCCTTCAGGGTGGACTTTACATTGGATGGAGTAGTTTTCTATCTTGAGAAGCCCCAATGTGCTATTTCCGCACATTTTTAAGCTCTGTAAGCACCACTGTCAGGTTGTTGTCGGCCATTTTGCTAGAGGTGTGCGCGGCGGGGTGGGGTTTTCCTGCAGCAGGTGAATCCAACTGTTTCCTCTGTAATTACGTCACCGGAAGTCCTTATTCATTTTTGAGAAACTTTTATTTTTTAAGACTTTTTTGGGAAATTATTAGTATAGTATGTTACCGTGATCAAAGATTGACGTACCAAAACAGTTTTTTATGAACATTTCTTTATATTTTTTATTCCATTTTTATGAACCATAAAAATGGGCATTGCTACAAAATATAAGGCAAATTAGTGGGGGGTTTTATTCAAGAGAAACTTTTATTTTTGAAGACTTTTTCGGGAAAATATTTATACAGTATGTTAGTGTTATCTAAGGTTGACGCAGCAAAAAAGTATATATTTTTTCTGACTTTTAACCAGTGGCGCTTTGGCCCAGAGGCAATGTCTCTGTCATTGGTGTGGAACCCCAGGGTTCCCCTCCTGGGCAAGTTCGAATCCCGGTTAGGGCGGTTGGTTCCTTCCAGTGGACTCACCACCCGCAGGAAGGTTTGGTACAGTGCAATGTGATTTGGGTGGCGACTGCTGCCCCCGCGACCTGGAAACGGATAAGCGGATGAAAATGGATGGATGGACTTTTAACCATAAAACTTGTCATTGCTACATATTTTAAAGAAAATAAATTATTTTTTATTTATTTTTGAGAAACTTCTAGTTTTCAAATTCATTTATATTTACTTTAGGTAGAAGGGCTACCAAGCACTGCGCGACCCCACCCGAGATTAGTTTATTTTCAGTCTAAAATTCATTGCTTCAGTCGACGAAAGACTTTCTTTGGTTCTCTGTGCTGGCATCTTTTCCCTGTCCCTGTCTGTCTGTCCATTTGTTCATCTGTCTTTCTATCTGTGTATCTGTCTGCTTTTAGGTCTGTTTATTTTATTGATCTGCCTCTATGTCTGTCTGTCATTCTACCGGTCTCTCTGTATGTCTCTCTATCTGTCTGTATGTCTGTGTTTCTGTCTTCCTCTCTATTTGTCACTATCTTTCTCCCTGTGTGTCTCCCTAACTGGCTGAATGCCTGTTCTTTGTCTTTTATTCTCACTATCTCTCTCTATCTATCACTGTCTATCTGACGTTCCCTCTATCTATCACTTTCTATCTATGTGTCTGTCTGTCTCTCTGTCTGTGTCAAACTTCCTGTGCTGCTCCGATATGCTGGACTGTGGCCTGTAGTAACCAGCAGAGCAGAGAAATTGCCCATTATCAAGGAGGTCGATTCTTTACAGGGTCCCGTAAATTGCTTTGTATTGACACCCTTTCAAAGTTGTGATCCTCGTGTCAAACCTCCAGATCCTGCTTCAGGTGTGGCGTCAACCTGCCACTGTCCTTCTCTGTCCAAAAATTAAATGGATAACAGGGATTTGAATATTTAAATCACAGTTTAATCAATGTTTGAGTGAAGCGGAGTGAAACCCACAGATAATTCAGATAGACGGTCACGGTGAATGACCCTTGACAGCCTCAGTTCTTCGCTCTAATCATGTAGGAGGCTTTTCATCAGAATCCATCATATCAGGATGACAGCTGTGATTGGTTGGGAGGGCCAAACAAAGCCCACAGATTTAGTGTGAAGGATAGATGGATAGATGTGTGAGTGAACCACCCACGTGATAATGGATAAGAAGGCATTTCTGGTCAGTTGTGGTGCAGCACGTCACCTTGCAACATTTTCCTCCATGTCTCAGTTTATACCACATAAAAATGACACTCGTGGGCTTTAACTGGAGCAGCCTGTTGTTATTGTCATCTTCAACATGAAGTGTATTCGACAGCAATATTTTTTTTTATAACGTATGAGACATTTGTTGCTATGAACTGTGAGGAGAAATATCACTTTTTATGTAGTTATTGTCTTCATGAACTCTATCTCTGTGTAATGCACTGTATAGAAGTCTAATCCATTCCACAACAGCACTCGTGTCTCAATCCACTCGTATCTAGATCGAATGTTTCCCATTAAAAATTACTAAAAACCAATTAATTAGTTTCAGCCCTGCAGAAATATAATATTAACCCCTGATCCAAAAATAAAAAACATAGATTTAAACAAATATTTTGATTAATATAAAATATTAATATAAGAATTATTTTTATTATTGTATAAAAAATGGGTAAAATAACCCAGTGAGGGCAGTGTGCAAGACAGCGCGTGTGCGAGTGTCGGGGCCACTAAGGCAGGAAAAGGATTATATATA